TCTGTCATCTCGAGCAAATATTTTGAAAGTATTAGAGGTACGAACTTTCTTTTTCTAAATAATGTCAAATCTTTCTAAACTTGAATTTGTTGCCCTGGATATATCGGGCAAAAGCTACATGTCTTAGGTGCTTGATGCTGAAATTCATCTTGATGCGATGGGTCTAGCAAACACCATCAAGGACAAAAATCAAGCATCAAACCAAGACCGTGCCAAAGCAATGATATTCCAACGCCATCACCTTGATGAAGGCTTGAAAATGAAATATCTCACTATTAAAGATCCAGTCATACTGTTGAATAATTTTAAAGATAAATATGACCACCTGAAGATGGTCCTTCTTCCACGGGCACGTTATGATTAGACTCATCTAAGGCTACAAGATTTTAAATCTATCAGTGAGTATAATTCTACTATGTTCAGAATTATTTTCCAATTGAAACTATGTGGTGATAATATTACTCATCATGATATGTTGGAAAAAACTTTCACCATTTTTCATGCCTCGAATATGCTCCTACAGCAGCAATATCAAGAGATGGGATTCAAAAGGTATTCTGAACTTATCTCACTTCTTCTTGTAGCCGAGAAACATAATGGGATATTAATGAAAAACCATGAAAGCCGACCTACAGGTTCTTGTCCGTTCCCTGAAGTGAATGAGACGAGCTTCCACCAAGCTAAGCGTGGAAGAGGACGTGGCCCCAGTCATGGTCATGGTCGTGGTCGGGGAAGAAACACTAATCATGGTAATAATAATGCACCAAAGAACCCTCCTCACCCCCAGTAGTGGAAAGGGAAGTAACAAAAGCACAAAGCGGTCCAAGCGGCAAAGGTAGAAAATGCATGTTGTAGATGTGGAGGAAAAAGGCACTGGTCACGTACCTGTCGTACGCCAAAGCACCTGTTTGAGCTATACCAAGCCTCCCCGAAGAAGACAGAGAAAAATGCTGAAGCAAATTTTATTTATGAAGATAATTTAGACTTCATGCATTTGGATGTAGCTGATACTTTGCACTCCCGGAAGGAGAAACAAGTCATGTGATCGGTGATGAATCTGTAGAAATGTAAATATTTTAATTTTTGTTATTTGTAGTAGATAATATGGTTATGTAATTGTTGTGCATAAATAAAAGTTATGCTTTGATAATGATGTTTACTATCATATTTATTTTGTTTATGAAGAAATTTTCTCTCATGATACCAGAAGTGTGTGGGCAATATTTGATAGTACAAAATATATCAACAACCCCTGAAGAGCTAGTTGTTTGTCTAGAAGACATATGCCACCAGTAGTGTCCGATAAATATTTGATTGTGGATAATAAACGAAGGCTATCGAAGAGCTTATGTACAAATATGTCATTTATATTATATGATTATGGTCAAAACATATGTTGTTGTAAACCTGAAGTTTACTAATACAAATGGTTATCATATTGAGACTACAAATGATTGGAAGATTGAAAATCTTCATGTTTCCACAATCATAGGGGGGTAAAATAATATGTATGTGAGAAGTGACCTGCCTTATTCTTCAATTTGTACTATATCATGTATCACAGTAAACCAGAAGTTTACTAATACAAAAGCAATCACAGTAAATCAGAAGTTTTACTGAGGCAAAAATAGCTACAGTAAATTAGAAATTCGCTGATACCAAAGTAGCCACAGTAAATCAGAAGTTTACTAATGCAAAAGTGTATGCCATTGTAAACCAGAAGCTTACTAAGAGATAACACATGCTATGATAAACTTGAAGTTTTCATTTGCCATTTTTAAATGAGCTATTTGAAAATTCAGATAAGCATATACTAAAGAACTAGAAGATTCTTCAAAAATTCTCTTGTGTTGCTTGTTCTCATAATAAATTGATTATACCAGCTAAAGTTGGGTCTAGGACCCTTGAATTATGGAATATATAAAAGGTGAATATGGGCTCATTCACCTATTATGTGAACCACTTATAGATGATATATGAGATGGTTACATGTGTGTTTATTGTCAACCTGCAGTTTGGCATTTGAAATTGCTTTTCTCAATTAAAAACATAATTTTAAGATTATGAAATCAAGATAGTTCATCTTGATGATACTGGTTTATATCCAAGCTAGTTTAGCGTTGAATAACTCCTATTAATGGCTAAACTATTGCTTATGATAACAAAGCCTCATGTGTTAGTCTAAGATTTTCTAAATTGCATACAACAACACTTGTATGCATCAGACCAACAAAATATGATAAGTCCTCCCCTCACAATTGGTTTAGGATCAGAAACCAAATATTTTTACTATCTAATAACTTTTGATGTGTGGTATATGATTAAGTTATCTACCACAATGCACAAAGATAACTTTTCCAAAGAAGATTGGGGATATGTGTTAGTTTTTCTAACATTTGGTGGATAGAATAAACAACTGAAAAATATGCTATATGAATCGAATTATCATTAATATGATCCTCACTTAGAATATATTTCAAGTCAAATGCCAGAAGCATTTGCTGATCCAAAATTAAATATCATATTTCAGTTGCAAATGCTCCTATTAAAATCAAAGTCCCTGAAGGATAAAGTTTACTGCACGCATGAAGCGTAGTAAACCGATTCGTTCCAAAGGTAACAATCCTTAAAAAATGATGGGAGCAAATAATCAAAATGATCATAATGAGGAAGAAATGAGCTCTAGAAGAACCCACGGCATAACATTTCATGAAACTCCAAAAGAAGTTCAGGTACCTGAAAATAAAGAAAGTGATGAGATCTCAACAAGTTATGTCGCTTAGGAACCGATACAAAATGATCGTCGACGTTATATTTGATACAATATAGTTCATAATATTGTAAAAGATTGTGAGGATCGGACCTGTAATCCAGACACCTGAAGATGTCGTGCCATCTAAATGCAAGTCATAACCTATATGACTCATTTGATTAAGCCTATATGAAGATCCCTGAAGGATTTAAAATGCCTGAAGCAAATCCAAAATCTCGGAAAATGTATTCAATCAGATTACAAAGATCTTGTATGGTTTAAAGCAATCTGGGCGTATGCGGTATAATCGCCTTAGTGAATATTTGCTGAAAGAGGGTTACATAAAAGATGATATTTGTCCATGTATTTTTATAAAGAAAATGATATCAAATTTTTTTATACTTGTTGTTTATGTTGATGACATAAATCTTGTTGAAACTCTAGAAGAGCTCCAAAAGATAATTGAATATCTTAAGAAAGAATTTGAGATGAAAGATTTTGGGAAGACAAAACTTTATCTTGGTCTGCAAATTGAACATTTAGCAGACGGGATCTTTATCCATCAATCTGCCTATACAGAAAGGATCTTAAAACGCTTTTACATGGACAAAGCGCACCCATTGAGTACACCAATGGTTGTTCGATCACTTGAAGTGAATAAGGATTTGGTATGATCTCCAGAAGAGGATGAGGAACTCCTTGATCCCCAAATACCTTATCTTAGTGTAATTGGTGCACTTATGTATCTTGCTAATGCTACAAGGCATGACATAGCATTTTCTGTTAATTTACTAGCAAGATATAGTTATTCCCCTACACGAAAATATTGGAACATTATTAAGCATATATTGCGATATTTAAAGGAAACACTTGATATGAGTTTATTTTATTCTAATAAAGGTAGTGTAGATCTTGTTGGTTATGCAGATGCAAGTTATTTATCTGATCCACATAAAGCTCGATCTCAAACTGGGTACATGTTTACATGTGGAGGTACTGTCATATCATGGCGCTCCACAAAGCAATCTATTGTTGCTACTTCTTCAAATCATACTGAGATAATAGATATTCATGAAGCAAGTAGGGAATGCGTATGGCCGGGATCAGTGATTCATTTTATTCAAGGAAAATGCGGTTTGGAATGTGATAAAGGATCCACAATTTTATACGAAGATAATGCTGCATGCATAGCCCAATTAAATGGGGGATTTATAAAAGGAGATAAATGGTGACATTGATGTGCAATAAATCCGTTCAAGTGATAATCCGGCAGATTTATTCACTAAATCTTTGTCAACTTCAACTTTTGAGAAGATGGTATACAAAATTGGAATGCGGATACTCAAATATTTGAAACATGATTTTTATCAGAGGGAGTAAAATACGCGTTATACTCTTTTTTCCTTATTAAGGTTTTTCCCACAGGGTTTTCCTTATAAGTTTTTTTAGACAACTAGTTATGCGTATTATTAAATATGTGTACTTTTTTTCCTTCACTAGAATTTTTTTCCCACGAATTTTTTCCTAGTAAGGTTTTAGTGAGGCACATTATCTTTTAATGAACATCCAAGAGTGAGTGTTATAAATATATTATATTATGAATGTTTATTTAGTACTCTGTTATAAATAAGCTTTCTGAAGAAGTTTATCTATATGAGACTCCGCCGTAAATATGTTTATCTATTTAGTACTCTATTGGAAATAAGTCTCATGAAGAAGCTTATCTTTTCGGTATCCCGTTATGGATAAACATTACCCCGGTAGAGTATTATCCATATCTGGTATAATGAGCTTATGCTTTCAGTACCCCGTTATGGATAAACATTACCCCCGGTAGAAGATTATCCATATATGGTATAATGAGCTTATCCTTTCGGTACCTCGTTATGGATAAACATTACCTCCGGTAGAAGATTATCCATATCTGGTATAATGAGCTTATCCTTTCGATACACCGTTATGGATAAACATTACCCCGGTAGAAGATTATCCATATCTGATATAATGAGCTTATCATTTCGATATCCCGTTATGGATAAATATTATCCTAGTAGAAGATTATCTATATCTGGTACAGTAGCAGCTTACACAACAGCTTAGAGAAGCAATTTACATTATGTACATAACTTTAAAGTTTGAATAATATATCAGTTTATATCTATACTTGTCTTTTACTTTTCGGCCTTTATTTTATAACAAAGATTAAATTTTTTTGACTGTGTACTTCATCAATCCCTTTTACGTTAAAATGACCAAAAACTCCTTAAACCTCAACGCCATCGCCCCTCTGAAGTGTGAAAAAGCTCTTCTCCGCGGTTACTTCATACCCATGGATTTTCAAGTGGTAGTATTAGCAGGTGGCTTCTCAAAAAGCCTTGTTCCTCTTGTTTCCAAGGTCTCCTCCTTTTACCCTTTTTCTCTTTTAGCCCTTTCCCATTTTTTCCTATTACTTTTATAAGTTCTTCTCCAATAAAATCTGCAGGAGGTGCCCAAAGCGTTGCTTCCAGTGGCAAACCGGCCGGTTCTGTCTTACGTGCTGGAGCATTTTGAGCAAAACAATCTCAAGGATTTTATTGTTGTGAGTTAATTGTGTTTTGAGCACTGAACTATTTCTTGTGTTAATTATGGAAATTAGGGTTATTTAATTGAATAGTGTGGTTGATTGTGGTATTTTATCAGGTTGTTGAAGGGGAAAGTGCAGCTCTTCTTGTTGGGGGTTGGATTTCAAATGCTTATGTTGATCGCCTACATGTTGAGGTAATTCTTGGATCACTTTATGTGGCAGTGTTTGAGTGGACATGGAATTTAAGAAAGAAAAAAATAACTTTTGAATCTTGTGGTCTAAAACAAGCTATAGATATTTATAGGGTTATAAATCATCTCAGCAACGGTAAAATGAGAAGTTTGAATTGTTTCTAAATATAAAAAAGTGCATTCTTTTTGGGAAGCGAGGTGATATTGTGAAGAAAACTATGAGGGTTATAAGTGCGTGTTATAGTACATTGTTTCAGCTGTCAAGTGAAATTTGGCAATATTGATATTGCAGACATGATAGGTGATTCCCCTAACAATTTTTTGTTCTAATGTATGTAACTAAAGAGAAATAGTAATAAGATTGTTAGAAACTTAGAATAGTGTGGATACTTTTTGTTTGATGATTCAATTTTGTTTTGGCATATAGCTCAAAGATTATGAGTAGGTTCTTCAAGGATGTGACCTATTGATCAATGAAGCGGGAGAACCATGAGATCTCAGGTTCAAATCCCAGCGGAGATTAAAAACATTAGGTGATTTTTTCCCATCCTAAGCTTTGATGGCAGAGTTACCCATACTTGTATTGGTCCGAGGTAGTAGATACCCAGTGAAGCGTGCAAGGTGGTCCTGACACAACCATCATAAAGAAAAAGGTCTTTGAGCATCTTCACGCTTAACAACAGAGAGAAGGGCTTTGGTAACTAAGAAATTTCATGCTTCTAGTGGAATCCAGTTGCTTTGCAAGTCTGCCAACTGCACTCCCCAGATGCAGCCTTAATATTTTTGATAGGTTATGCAGCACTACTATCGACTATAGGGAAGCAAGGAAACTAGCTTTGCGCATATCAGTTTTGTTTATTGTTGTACATAAACAAATTACAAGTCTTGATTTGGCAAGGCGCTGATCACAATCCAAATAGAGACGGGCTAGAATGATTCTCCATTGACAATCTGCACGCCTCAATTTCCCAACTCAAGTCCCAAATCGAGTCCCAACTTCGAATTCCAGTTCAATCCCAAACCTTATTATTATTGGTCTTTAAGAAAATACTAATGAAGAAGAAGAGAAGAGAGGAGGGGGCAGGGGACAAGTGAGGAAGACGTGGTGAATTTGCAGAGAAAAGTAAATTGTCTAACAGTGCGGGAATATGGTTAAAGGGGCAAATAAAATGGGAGTTGGGCTATTTTGTGCTAAACTTAAGGCCGAATGGCCAAGCAGTGCCAAATTATTATTATTATTGTTATTTCTTTTGTTATGAGCTTGCTCTTTATTAACGTTAATGCTCCTCAACAGTTGGACTCTAAATAAATTTATTTAATGCTCCCTGTTGACTGTTTTGAGCAGGATGAATCTAGTAGTTTTACCATTAAAAAGTTCACTTGATAAATCTAGTGCTCATCCTTATACTTATTTGGCCCATGTTAACTTAGTATGGTTGTTGCTACAAAGGGCTTATTTTGTTGTTACTTTGTCTTCAGGTTGCAGCAGTCCCTGAGGATATCGGAACAGCTGGAGCTCTTAGGGCCATTGATCACCACCTGACTGCAAAAGACATTTTGGTTGATGTTCTAATCCGAATTGCTTTCCAACATGGTCGCATGCTTCAATGAGCTAATTAGTTTGATTCTTATGCAGGTTGTGAGTGGTGATCTTGTTTCTGATATTCCTCCTGGGGCAGTGGCAGCTGCTCATAGACGACATGATGCTGCAGTGACCGCTATGCTTTGTTCTACTCCTGTCAGTGGCCCATCAGAGTCAGGTTCCTCTGGCGGAAAGGAC